GCAGCAGAATCCCGTCGTGTGTTGACCTAGCACCCCCGCGCGCTCGCTCTCTTAGCCACTGATCTATATAAAAACACTGTAGTGTTGCTAATTTTTAGTACGTTATTTGCGCCTGGGTACGAGGCTGCTCCCTAAGTCAATTCAAAAGAGCAATTGACAATTTGTTCTCTATATGAGATGGACTCCCGCACGGAAATCTTGTAAATCAGTATTTTAGTGTTTGGATATGTTTAAAGTGTATATTAATTGTCATAGCGTAATTTCTAATTATATGTTAGTTAATTATCTTGTAAAATGTTATACTGTAGATTTCACCGTGTTAAAATAAAGTTTTTGATTGATTGATTAACCTGCGAATAAGTGCGAACTAGCATGCTCAGCTGATATTCAACTGATATTCAACTTATAGACTTGCCAAAGAAAGCACGCTTGCCGCTTGTGCAGCGTGGCGGCAATATTAAACCTACAAGAAAATATATATATCTCTAGACCGAACAGTGTGGTTGTTATTTATTTAGTATTAATGTCTATCCTGATACTCGGACCAAAAGAATTTATTTATTGATGAGATGTGGAATTGCAACGAAATAGCGAGATCTTTTGATTTCCGAAATATCGCCAACTGTATCCAGATTGTTGATCTATATACAGGCCTTAATATAAAAAAAAACTTAAAGCCCGTCAAAACACTATAAAATTGGGCTTGGCATTGCTGAAACCAACGATTATGGTATATGTCAAAGTATAGCTGTCTGTTGAAAATCTACGGTATTAAAATCATAGACCAAAGATAAGTCAAACGACAAATTATATGTCACTATATTTATATAGGGAAAGCATTATTAAGCATAATATGCGAATAAATTCCTTCTATATTGTGATTTTTCAAGCGCCTCATGCGTTCTTATATTGTGTCCGAGAAAGCGAAACATTTCGCTTGTAGTAGCCAATGGGTAACAAGAAGCGAAACTTCTCGCTTCCATACAGCCAATGGGCAACAAGAAGCGAAATGTTTCGCTTCCATTCCCACAACACATATATATGTACTATTGTTGTGCTAGTTAAAGAAGCGAAACTTCTCGCTTCCATACAGACAATGGGCAACAAGAAGCGAAATGTTTCGCTTCCATTCATTTCCCGCAACACATATATGTGCACTATTGTTATATATTACGGGAACCACTGAGTATTTTAATACAACGGTAACTCCGAAAATAAACGTTTTAATAATATTCTAGGCTTTCGACTAAGATTCAGTCATCATCAGGAAGATCATAAGATTCAGTCATCATCATTATATTTTCCTGATGATGACTGAATCTTAGTCGAAAGCTAGAATATTATTAAAATGTTTATTTTCGGAGTTACCGTTGTTTTATATTTTATTGTTATATACTGTGTTGTGGGAATGGAAGCGAAACATTTCGCTTCTTCAGTGTTGCCCATTGGCTGTATGGAAGCGAGAAGTTTCGCTTCTTTTACTAACACAGCAATAGTAAATATATATGTGTTGTGGGAATGGAAGCGAAACATTTCGCTTCTTGTCACCCATGCATTGGCTGTATGGAAGCGAGAAATTTCGCTTCTTGTTACCCATTGGCTACTACAAGCGAAATGTTTCGCTTTCTCGGACACAATATAAGAACGCATGAGTCGCTTCAAAAATCACAATATATTAGTCTTTATTAGAAGGAATTTATTCGCATATTATGCCAACTGCCGATTGCCGCCTTTCTTTTATTTGTACGTGTAAGCAAAGTCAATTGTTCTAGTATGAGCCCACGCTACTATGGTCAGTCCTTGTAATACAATGTTTGAATTACATGAAGTAGTAGGCATGATATTATCGAAAATCAACATAATTTTCATCGTGATGAAACCTGGATGAAACTATGCGATATATTGGTTGATGACAAGTATTTTAAATAAACACAATCGTACTTTTCTGCCCTTTCTGCCCCCTGTGGGTTCGCCTGATGCGCTGAACACACTACAGGGGGGCGTGTATTGTATTGCGTAATATATGCGGTTAGACAAAACATCACATGACAGTCATTGCGCAGCCAGCTACATACTATACATGGTATACAACAACGAATATGCAGCTCGTAATTTTAAATTTGCTGCTTTTATTCTCTTTTGTGGATCTTCATACATTAGCGGTAAGTCTATAACATCTATAATAAATATATTTCCATTTTTAATCTGTATATTATTGTGTGAAATTTGAGTTTCTTGCAAATAAACATCAAATGGCGATGCTTTGTATTTAATATTTTTATGTCGCTGACAGCCGACAGGTATAGAAGATCACTAGGCACCAAGGGTGGGTAGTAGCGAAGTAGTTGTAGTTCGCTACTGTAGCGAACTACAATTTTCAAGTAGCCAGTAGTTTTTGACTACTTTTTTAAAACAGTAGTTGTAGTTATAGCGAACTACATTTTGCCTAAAAGTAGCCAAGTAGTTGACTACTTTTCAAACAGCGAATCGCTATTCGCTACTTTTTAAAATTGTTATATAGCAACCGTTCGTAGAATATAATGATATTAAGACACGGTTTGCTTAAAAGATTATTTTATACAGTAAAGATTATTTTAGCGCATTGAAAAGTGGCACTCCTGAACACTGTATAGTGCTTACAAAAATGTTGCTTTGACCCTTTTGTTTACTGTTGCTACTCGTAAGTCGATTTGTTATAGGTTAAATTACAACCTGAGCCCAAATACCGTAAAACTAAAAAATATAGAGTAGCGAAATAGCGAAATAGTTCGCTACATTTTTTAAGCAGTAGCTGTACATAGTCAGTAGCGAACTACTTTTGTTCAAAAGTAGCAGTAGTTGTAGCTGACTACATATTTTTGAAGTAGCTGTAGTTATAGCGAACTACAAAAATTTTGTAGTCAACCCACCCTTGCTAGGCACTAGCTTTAAAACACCTGGACACATTTTATATTATCTTAATGTTTAATACTAGTGATAAATTTCAAGCGATGAGAATATATAATTTAACTCATATCAACGAATTAATGTGCTAGATATTTAGTAGAGAGTAGAGTCTCCCTGGAATTTTATAAATAAAACGGGGTGTATTAATGGGCGAGGAAGGGGCATGGACATTTATATACGCCTGTATTCTAAAAGCTCACACGCTCACACTTAAAGAGTGGAGATATAATCTGAGCTCCCCTTGAGTGTGGTTTTTGAATAGCTGGAGGATGAGTAGTCACAATAAGCCCTGGGCTTATAATTATATACTTTCGTAAACGATTTTTGATGGGCTTATACAAGGGGGGCTTATATACGGGTGGGCTTATACATGGACAATCTTTTGTGTTAGTAATAAACAAGTCAGACATAAACAAGTCAGTCATAAACAGGGAGTAAACATGTATTAAGCAGCGATTACTGGGCTTATATTAATTGGGGGACCTATATTCAGGGGGCTTATATTCGAGTGGGCTTATATTTGGAATGAGGTGAGTGTTAGTACATGTGGTGGGCTTATACATGGGGGGCTTATATTCGGGGGTCTTATAGTCGGAGCTTTATGGTATAACCCTTGTACAGCTATTCAAAAACTGCACTGTCTGACACTCAAGGGAACCTCAGATTAAACCTCCACTATTTGAGTGTGAGTGAGCTTTTAGAACACAGGTGTTACGATAGAACCCGAGTTAGCGAGGATTTGAGTTTAAATTAATGAGGTTGGTGTTGGATTTTGTTTATTATGTTGCTGTTATAGTTAATAACTATAAGGTATAGTCGTTTTATCACCACAATTGATCGAGAGTCACTATGGTACACTCTACAAAGAATTTCTAAAGTCTGTACTACTGTTACCAGTCTTCAATTAACAGTACAGTACCTACCAACAGTACATGTACATACAAGCTAGGTCAGTAATAATCAACGCTTTACGACATAATAATTGAACTTTTTTCTCTCTATCGACTAATGTATTACATTTGTATATATTGCATACTGATTCAATTGTTGTTGTCTATTAAAATTGCAATCCAAGCTTCCAAGTTGTCAATGTGCTAATTGTTCTGATATTTTGAGGTTTGCCGATCCACATCTAAAAAACACAGTTCAAGTTATCCCAGGTAAATTTGACCAAGGGAAAATGAAATTTGTATGAGTTAGCAAGGAGGTCGAGTTAATTCAATGTTCGAGTCAGTGGGGTCACTTCTACTATTGTGTATAGTTTGCTTAAGACTTGAGATCCTTAAAGCTAGTACAATTCTCTGCAGTGACTATTAGTGGCTACAAAGTTTCTGGCTAGTTGCTGCTGGCTATTGGAACTGCTGGTCATTTGACATAAATTGCTTACACTTGCAGGGTTTCCTATCGCTTGTTGAAAAAGCTCAAGGGTAGGTTGGGAATTCACTTCAATCAGGGTTGGTGCATTGAGCAGTCAAAAGCTTAGATAGGATTGGGAAACTGGAAACGTAGTAAGCTATTTTTGAGCCCAATTGCCAGGTGTTTATTCCTGCGAAGTGAGCTGTGTGTGAGTTCGAGTTTTGCCTGGGTATGTTTTGTCTGTCACTTACTAGACTTTTTTTGAAATGTTTTTTAAAACTTTCCGACTTGTTTTACATGTAACTATTGAATTGTTTATTTTGCCTGTTAGGGTTGGGAAAGATTGGGGTTGTGATCAGCTTATTCCATAAAATTCCAGTTTTTCTATAGTCTTTATATTGCTGGCAGTTTAC